GGCTTTCGGTCAGCCACATTTCGGGGCCAGCTCTGATCAACACCATCCAGGCATTCCGTCAACAATGCGCTCGCGTGGAGGGCCCGGACCACGTACAGCAGTTCGCCCAGCTCTCGGCAACGAATGCCGGGCTGCGAGCGCAGCCGAGGTGGGCACGTTCACCGACTCCTTCCCGCTCGACGGCGAGGAGGACTTCCACCTCAGGGCCCACTCGAGGCTATGGGTGAACCCGTTGCAGTTCGTGCGCCGGAAGCCCTGGCCCATCGCTCGCATGATGAAGGCCAGGCGGTGGCAGCTCACAGTGGACCGCCGGCGATCATAGAGGAGGCGGCTCGACATGCCGTTTGTGAGCTCGGAACCTCTTAAGGGAATTCCAGCTCAGCGATCACCGGCGTCTCAACATCTGCCCGCCAGTCGTACGATCACCGTGTGTCAGAGATCCAGATAATTCCGGTGGCCAATTCACCGAGGCGGAATCTGCGGAGGAGCTCCCTGCCGGAGCTCGCGATCGCATGCGAGCTGACATGCACTTTTCGCGAACCTCGGCTGCTATCACGCCCAAGCTGTTCTCCGACATGCTGCAAGTACGCGAGACCAGCGAGTTCGAGAGGATCAGCACGGTCAAAGTGGAAGAGACTCGGCTTGCGATCGAGGCGGCGGCCAGCAGCTCTACGCCATCCTCCTGCTCGGAGCCCGGCTGGTCCCTATGCCATGAACCCCGCGCTCGAGTGAGGAGGCGCTCGACCTGGCGATCCGGAGTTTTTTGCGGCCGCCTTGAAGATTCGGGTGGTTGCGCCGTGGTTCCGGCTCAATCATGCTTAGCCGGCAGATCCGCCGTGCTTCATGGGAGCGGAACAAACAGTGCCGAGCGATCCTCTCGACGCGCTAGATCCCAGCGCAGTGCTGCTCGCACATGCTCATGTCTTGTCAGCTTGCTCTGGCCCAGGTGCGGCGCTCGGTAGTCATTAGCAGGCACATGCGATCGTCAAGTGCAGCTGTTCAGGCTGCAGGATGGATAGATCTGCTAGGAAGATCATTTCGGTGCCCCTGCTCAATGATGAGGTTTGCCAATGATTGGTAGATCTCCGAACGGCTCAGTTCGAGAAGCTCTCTGCCGTCTCCGTATCTGATGGTTTGATCGCGGAGTGCGTGCAGTCGTTCGTTGATTGATCTTGTGCCCGCTCTGGAGGATCTCCATGCCCCTTCGAGGCGGAAGACTGAGGAGGAAACCTACGGAATCTACAGGTGGGTGCCGTCGATCGAGTTGCTTTCAACTCTCGTGCGAAGCATGTCCCCTATCGGATGGGCAGAGCTTGCCACTGATCTGGGTTTCGGCATGGCTGGCAGTCCCGTCGCTAGCGGGAGATCCCCCCACGCCGATGATCGCAAATCCGGGCCGATCGGCTGATCGCCAAAATTGACACAGTGATCACGGCTGTTCTGTAAACGGAACTCTGAATTCCTACCCACCAGACCGAAAATTATATATTAGATATATACACACATATACATACATACATACATACATGCATGCATACATACATACATACATACATACATACATACATACATACATACATATATAGAGATAGATAGATAGATACATGGATAGATAGATATCTAACCCCCCAAACCTTACTGCAGTCCCTTGGCCCGGGTATTGGCCAAAATGCTGAGAAGCTGGGTCAGGCTTTGCGCCCATGCAGCCAAGGCCGGACAAATGGAGACTTCACAAAACTAGGCACATCTTACTTGGGCCTCGTTTAGTTCTGTAATAAGCCTCCTTGCGTGTCTGCTCTTCTCACACTCGGACGGGTGACATGAGGCTCAGATCAAGCGGAGACCGTATTCAGGGTCAGAACAAGGTCCGCAGACTTCTGAAACTGTCATATCTGAGCAGTCTCGGATCACAAGCTCAATCCTGTCCGTGCCGGGATCGAACTCAGGCCAAGGGGCGCGTCTTCTTGTCACTGAGAGCGCGTCGAAAGCCTTCGGCTGGCTCAGCCAGAGCTTACTTTGCCGATGGCAGAGGAGAAAAGCTTTGGCTGGCTGGATTTACATGCTCTGGCTCCTCCCAGGTGCATCCTTTCAGGTATTGTGGGAACCTAGGCACTGGGACAACTTGTCTGTTCCATCTCCAACCGACTCCAACCCTCCTGCAGCAGACTCCTGAGTTTGGCCCAGCCACAGATAGCAGCTGTGGCTGCCCCCACGGCTAGCCAGAATAGCACATAGTCTGCTGCAGTTGGGAACTTTGTCGGGGCCGTGATCGCGAACATTTTCCTCGACAGCATCGGCAAAGTGCTCAGGGGTCATAAGGAATGTTAACCCGCCTATTTCAAACTGACAAGCGTGAGGATTTTAACGCCGGTGCCCGTAAAGAACCACAAACTCTCTTTCCGGAAAGTACCGATTTCATCTTGAGCAGAGCGATGCAAATCGGCGAAAGCGGGAAGAAGTTCCCAGCCACGAAATTGAGCTCGAGCCCAAAAGCAACGCCCAGGCTTGGAAATCCGAATGGAGACCTTCCCCAGGGTTGACGTGGACCCGAATATTCTTACTAGTACCAATACTACCATTACGGATCTTATTCCATAGTCTTCGTAGGCATGATTAGGATTATCAGGAATTATCAATACGATTTCTACTATGCATAATACTATGTCATGTGAATGTTACTGTCGATATATAAACAGTTGTAATACTATTAGTATGAACATTAACCGAATATTCGCAGTAATCGTAACTTTAGTATCCTTAATTTCCCAGCCCTTTTCAACGCCCTACGATGACTGCTGTTTATTACCCGTGCTATTCGCATTATTATTCGTACTGTTCTTCGTACTGCTGCTATTCTACATACTACCATTCGTACTAGTATTACTATTATCCGTACAGCGAAAAATACTATGTCTAAGACAGTCTAAGATTACTTTCATTATCACTGTTATTGTTCTTACTTTCATTCTTACTATTGCTGTCGTCCTTGATTTTTGTTGGCAATATTCGTCATATTACTATTGTCCGTAAGTATTAGTATCTCTATTATTCTCAATATTGGTGATCTTTCATTTTGCTACTACTTTTAATTCTTAATATTACAACGAATTTTGGAAGTGCAATCAAGCCGGCAAGGAATCATGGAAGTGCATCTGTTGGGCTTATCTTGCCCTCTGCTTCCCTCGTGCCCTGCATCCGAATCTCCTGTGGCACATGTTTGTCCGTGCATTCATTTGGAGGCTTCACGCGCGCGTCCGAAGTCCAGGCCTCACGCTCCGGGAGGTTGTTTGAGTTGAAATAGAAGCGAAAGGGTGCAGCGGCGAAGTACATAGTCTGAACTCTTCGAGATGGAAGTTGTAATGGGCTGCTTTGCGAAACAGACTTCCATGCTGAGGCAAACCAAGCCCCGCATGCCTGCGACCGGAGCTCACAAGACAATCCCCGCCCGAATCCGACGACCATACTGTTACAGAGCATAGGTGTTTCTGGAAAACACAAGGAGAATAAGCTCTGGGCCGGATGACCGGGATTCGCGGCCTTCGACGGCAGGATAGCTGAGGAGAGTTGAGGGAAGTGCAGGGCAAGCATACAACATGCAGAAACAATGAGGGACCCAAAGACACACTGGAACAGCTAGCTCAGACCAAGACAGATCAGGTCCCGAGAGAGAACATGGCAGTAAATCTTGGCAACACCTAGCCAACACGCCCTCGACTGGCCTACATCACGCATCCAAGAGGCACTCTAGACCAAAAGAGAGAACAGCAGCGGGCTCTTACTGATACCAAACAAACATATGAAGCACTCCGACTCTCGGTCACGTACCCGAACCTGGTATTTGCCGGAATGCAAGCCCGACATTGAATCTGAAATCCTGCAATTGAAAAAAGGGCACAAAAAGCCGGCTTGAGCGTGCCCTTCTTGCCTTCCTCTGCACGAGTGGCCTCACGATTCAAGGCAGGCTGCTTTGTGTGAGCATTCACGGCTTCTGCTTTTCTTGCGGAGCCGACGTTGTGGGATATACTTCAGGTGCAAGGGGGACTGCAGCGGGGCTCAGGACCCCCAAAAACTGGGACCCGCTTCAGGCAAAATCCCCTCCTGCCTTCTCGCTGCTGCTGGGGCGAAGGCCTGAAGGAGAGAGCAGCCCGGGCTTCTAAAAGTTTAAACTGCCAAAAAGGGGTTGAGCTCTGACCTCCTTCCACTCCGGAAGTTGCGGTCATTCGAGATTGCTTGAATGGAGCCGCAGAAGCTTTAACCGCCATGACCGTCTGGCTGAGGCAAGCAGAGTCAGAGAACATGTGCATTTTGCCTTTGTCTCGCCGTCGCAACCCCTAGGGTATAGTAAGCAGCAGCACGTGCTTCGCGCCACTGCCATCCGGGGAAGCGGCACCATTATCTGGAGGCGTTCCTCCGCCGTGGCTGTGGGAAAACCCTGAACAAGCTTGAGCAAGAGCGTAGTTGGGAGGGGCGCGCTTTCGACAGCCACGTCCGTTTCATGCATTAGGGACATTATCTCGATGCGGAGGCACCAAGACTTGGAGCGTCAAGGGAAGCAAAGAATAGCCTGTCTTGCTGCTACATGCCGCCACGGAACGAACATGAACGGAACAAATCACCAAGTTTTCTCGACAAATCTTGTCCTCCGCCGCTAGTTTCACATCTCACTGCAGCTGCTGGGGGCAGTTCCGAAATCCAGGGGTCCGTGACCTACATCCTTCCCATGGGATACACGGATAGGATCCTCAAATGCGACTTCTTGAACCTCTAGAAACCTCGCGTCGCATCGCACAGGCACACCCCAGCGGGACTGAGCTTTCGGAAGCCCGGAAATGCAATGCTGAAAAGGCTCTGCCATGGCAGCGATCTTCATTGGCGTATCTTGCAGCTGGTATGGTTTAGGGTCACTTCCGCCTATCTGCTCACTTCGAGGACCGTGGGTTCAAGCAAGATACTAGAAGCCTCTGCGAGCTTTGGCCATGGAAAAGCCGCCACCTAAAAAACTACACGTCCACCAGATCCATCTCCAGCTCACATGCGGCCACCACACCCGGCAGGTTGCGCCCGGACCTCTGCGGCCTTTGGAGGCCCTGAAGCCCTGGCCGAGGCTCGCGTTCGCCATGGGCCGTGCTCCGAAGGGCCCAGCTGCTCCAGGCCTCCGTGACCTCCGTGACTTCGGGCTCAGCTTCAGGCTGTGCATGCTGTGCATGGGGCTGTGCTTGTGGCAGGAACGTCGCCAAGCTGTCCACGTGTCGGAGATCCAGTCGTTGCTGCGTGCGCTGGGATTGGGTCATTGCCCGCCGCAAGGTTCGCAAGGCCCTGCCGCCGCGCAAGTTCGAGGGAGAGAGGCTGCCCTGCAGCTCCTCTGGCGAACGTTCGCTGAAGGCCTCACCGACCTTGGACGCCGAAGAACCAGGTGCAGCGCCAACCCGCGTGGGAGCGCGGCCTTCCTTCATGCCATAGGCCACCCCACAGGCAGGTAGCAGGCAAAGAATGCCAGCCACGAAGCCCACGACACCCATCAGAGCGATAGCCACGCCGGCGGCTGCAGCCATCTGTCCCTCGTCTTCTCCTTGATTGACGGGAGTAGAGACCATCAGCTCGGAGGAAGAGGAGGTACGTTCAGTCGCCGTCGATGTCCTGATGTTGTCACGCCCTTCACAAACCTCGTTGTGCACTGCGTGCAGACTTAAAATGCAGGCCCTTTACACCAAGGGCAGCCGATCCAGTCCCAAGATGTCCCCAAAATCATTCAACAAGGACAGCTCTCGAACATGAAACTTCATGGCGCATCGCGGCTATGCGCGTGTTATAGATGAATCGTATACTTACTAGCAATGTTACCACGAATTTGCCATTATGCCTTCCATGATCTTCCATGCTTTGTTGGCTTGCTGCTCTTCATGCTGTCAGTACGACTAGCACCAATACTAAAATGCGTAAAGCTGTCCTGGTCAGGGTCGTGGTCGTGGACGGCACGCTGAGAGCCCA